GTCACCACCACTATGATTATGACTGCTGCTGTTACTATAGTGGGGGATGAGCGGGGGACTCTCTAAGTGATTGCAAGTATTTTCTCATTTTCCTAATTCTTCTCTTTTATAAAGTCTTCATTTTAAAGAGACGTTGCTATCTGTTCAAGTGGGGCAACTGTTCTAATTTATTATAAATGTGTCAGCATATTATTTAAACATTCCCAAACTGAAGCTAGTCTATAACATGATCCTTGCTCTCTAAAGACATAATATCCCTTTTAAATTTCTTTCAATCATTGTGTTAAAGCCAATTAGGAAAAAAATATATAGAAATTGAATGTAGTTTTAAATAAATTTCTCTCAGGCACATACAGTCAGTATAAATTTTCTAACTCCAAATATAACAGATTCATTATAACAATTATTTAAACACAGAGATGTAGCTATTAGATGACTACTAACGTCACTCGTAATATCAGTAGAAGGACACACATGCTTCTAATCTTCCTTCTGCATGTGTACACCAAAGTGTCTGTACTTAATTTACCAAAAAAATTCATCATACCCTATGCTGTAAAGCTATTCCCCTAGAACCCCCATTCCACATTTGGAGACAAATCATCGTCCCCCTTATTTGCAGAATCCTTCAAAAAAGTTATTAACAGTCATATAGCAGGTGAATTTCACCCAGGTTTGATCTGAAGGCCTGATTTCAAGGATTTGAGGTAAAGAATGATGAACAAATTTTGTGGTAATCCTTGGAAAATGTAGAATATTTCCCAGTTCTACTCACTTTATGAATATCATAGTTGTAATAGTTCAACGTGGAATTAACTTTTGTGAGAAACAAACCTCTAAATTTTAAAGAAAATGTAATTTTGTGGTGGTATGTGATAGAAAAAAAAATCCCAAACTTTCTCACTGAATGTACTTCAAATGTAGCTTTATTTCATTATCAACATTTAGCTTTTATTCTTTTAAAAAGTATATGCTAGCAATACCATCCCATTAACAATAAGAACCTACCTAATTTTAACCTCACCTTGCTCCTCACCAGGAATAAATTTTCATAAAGAGCCAAAATAATGAAAAAAAAGAAAAATATATGCGCTTCTCCTAAGATTTCCCATAAGAATTATCTCAGCCCAAATTTGCTCTTCGTTTTATGACATGAGATAACATACTGTACCCAGAACTGGATTTCCTTTGTCATAGGTCAGACATAAAAAACCAAAAAAAATGGTTTCTATCTCTATAGATTAGGTATAAGTTGTGAAAACCTGTTAATGAATTGATGATTAAAAAACACAGGTTCCACTTTCCCTGGAAGGTTTTCTCACTCCCAAAGGAAGCCAGCTCTCCCTTTCTTTAACGCTTACTTTTGTTTGCCCCTGGATCTGAAACAGGTGGGTCATTTATGCTGTCACTGCCAGTTTCATTCACAAAGATAACTGGAGAATATTAGAAGCCTTGTCCCAGAACGGTGCCAATGAGCTCAATATCATTCCTGCCTCAGCATCGAGGCCGATCCCTAAAAATGGAGGCTATGGATGCTGGATAAGGTTAAAATTGCACCTTAAGGTTCAAAGTAAGTAACATAAATGGCTGAAATGAGACATAGACCAGGAATGAGTCATTTTATTTAGGCCACTACACGCCCGCTCCCCAAATGCTGCTGAAGGACTTGGAACCGTTGCTGTTGGTCTTACTGCTTTTACATAACTTCAGTCCACGCAGTCATGCTGTGTGCGTGCCCAAGCTGGCACTGGACACAATGAGCCCGGCCTAAAGAAGCCATGTCCTGAGGTTTTAAATGGTGACTGTTTTAGCACAGGTGTGATGTAAGCCTACCGTGCTCTTTTTGACTTTTGGGAGCCCCTCAGCCAATCAGTAAGGAGGAACAGGAGACTGACGACGAAGCCAAAAGGAGGCCGTGTCTTTTTCCATCCAGCTGTGAAAACCTTTCATTGAAACAGATGGTAGATTTGTATCAGTCAGCGAGGGGTTCTGAGGTGGTTTTCTGGATGGTTGCCCAGAAGCTGGGTCCTCCAGGCGGCATGGCACTGCTGTCACCTCACACGCTTTGTGAAGCCTGGGACTCAGCCCAGGGCAGGCGGCCGTTACATTGCAGGGACAGGATCCCACAGGATAGGCCCGTGACACGTCACGTGTTTCTGAGGGCTGGCCTCTTTGTTGTCACTCACAAGCCTTGCTTATGAGAAGGTTCCTTTAAAGCCCTCGCAGGGGTGAGGGGAAGTGTGATGAAACTCAACATTGAGTGTGATCAGCACGTTCAAGCTCGGGCACACTCAAAATCACAACCTGGGGAACTTACCCGGATCCTTGACTTCCCTGCCCAGCACAAGATGCAAAATCGTAGAAAAAATCAGTCTGAAACCCAGAATTCAAGACATAGAGACTCTTGCCTAACTCATCATTAAAAATTAAATGCGGGGCCGGCCGAGTGGCTCAGTTGGTTAAGAGCTCGCTCAAGAGTTTGAGCTCTGAGCAACAGCGGTTCGAGGCCAGCCCGAGCTGAGCAGCCGCTAAGCTGCCAATAGGTAGCAGGATGGCTCANCAACAGCGGTTCGAGGCCAGCCCGAGCTGAGCAGCCGCTAAGCTGCCAATAGGTAGCAGGATGGCTCAGCTAAAAAAAAAAAAAAAAAAAAATTAAATGCGATTTTCGTGTGCCAATTAGATGACTAGATGGCTCAGCCCTGATGGCTTCTTGAAATAGTTATAACTATCACTGGATTCCAGAACCTCATTAAAATTGTCACCACTGGCGCCCACCGAGTGGACAAGGCAGAGGGAAAGACTGGTGCCAACTGGACCAAACACCCGACCACCTCTGCATTCCGGAAGCCCTCTGCAAGCATCACTCCATCTAATCCTCATGTCACCCTGTGCAGACACTAGTTTGAGGATTCTGTCCCTGCAGAAAAAAGCTCACAAACATTATTCAGGGTCATTAAAAAAAGGGAAGACATAGGCTAATGTCCAAGTGAGAGGGAGAGAGTGGACAAGCACTGAAATCTGATTGGTGACAGTCGTGGCATTTGAACTGGATTTGAAATGAAATACGGGATTTCGTTTGAGCATGTTGATACCATTATTGGAAAGGCAGGTTGGAGATGGATTGGGAAGGACTTTCGAATAACCATAGTAAAAATTTTGGAATCTCCTACTAAAATATCTTCACAAGAGAGACACAGCACGTTTTAAAGGTAAAAGCACCTGGCAGGGAGGGAGGAGCTGCGGTTCAGAACCTGAGGGCGAAGTGTGGTGAAATAGGACACGATCAGTACTCTGAGGGTAAAGGCAACAGAGAGAAAAAGCTGAGAGCCCAGATGTTAGATACTCAGGGTCTGTGTACTGACCCTCAAGAGCAGGGGGTGTCCTGGGTCTCCCTGGGGTCCAGTTTTGGCCCTGTTGCTCATTCATTCTATATCAGAG